CATATAAGATTCGCCAGCGGCGCGTAGAAGAAGTTGTTAACTGCTAGAAGTGAGTCAAGTGAATTCCACAATGAATCTTCAACTACAGGTTATTTACCAACTGCCCCACACGGTCAGATGTGGCACAAGGCAGAATTTAATGCGGGATATCCGAGCCTGTAGTCTCTGCCAAAAAATCCCCGTATAAAACGGGGTCGAGTAGCTGTTTCCCGAGACGAGACTCTACCCTTCGACATAGACTAGTCTGGGGAAACTCTCTGCCTAGAGGCAGAGAGTTTGACCAGCACAGCTGGAGACGAATCTTCAACTGCAGACCCAACATACAGTATTTACTACTGTATTTATATGAATGGGGACATATCCATTATCGTCTGTAGGTATGCTATAAGAGTTAGATTACTCAAGACGTAACTTTAAATTTTATATATTGAATTTAAAATTTTTCCTTGACAACACCAAAATTTTCCTTGGTTCTAATGAATTTTTGATTAGACATTTGTTATTTTTAAAATGTCGTTACTAAACTTTGTCTGGCAAAAACCCAATAGTTTTGAGCATCAAATGATATGTAAATAATAATGATGGTATGTGAGACCAAATCGCTTACTATTATTCCAAGTCTCAACAAGAAAAACTACCTATTAATTGATTCCAAATCGAACAAATCCCGTTTGCTTTCATCGCTAATTAAAGTCTTGTTTAGTTACAAAATGCTTCTATTTACATACGTTGCTACAAATGAGTACCTGAACGTGGGTGGACAGATATATGTGGGTATGCACGCAAATAATTTTATACGTATGTCTTCATTATCGCTGTACACTGTCCCTTTCGCCATCTTTACATAGGCGAGTGCATATTCCCTGAATAAAAAGGAAAAAAAGAATATTACCTATTCAAAAGAATACGATTGCTGAAAAAGCCGGCTACATCGAGCACTTTTTGTTCCAGCCATCGATCGAAAAACGACCTGAAATATTTGCACGCAACGCCATCTCTCCAGACCTACTTCCACGCTCATTCTCCAGTGTTGCTATCGAGGACAGTGGCGCCACCAAGCGACTAATATCTCAGTCTTTCATTTCCTTCATTTTCATTTTTTTTTCTATACAATGTTTCGCGTCCCTTACTGATCGTCACCAGAGTCTCAACGGTATTTTCTTAAAGCCTGAAATAAAACAAAAGAGAGAGAGAGAGAGAAAGACATGATTCTTTTTAATCAGAAGCCAACTAAAAAGTAATGATCGAACGAAATAAATCTGTAAAAAAAAAGTAACTCTTTTTTGTAAAAGGATGCATATAAATAGTCATAAGATGAAAAATAATGTCATAAAGTTAAAGTGCTATGATTAATGCATTAAATATTACATTACTCTCTTCTATATATATATATATTGTTTATTTTCTTAGATATATGTATATATATATTATATATTTATTTTCAAATATATATATATATAAGGCTCGAATTTGTAGGTCTGATAAAATGGGTTGTGATTACGATTCCAATGTAATAAATTATAAGTATGAAATATTACTGTTCGCGCCTTTTATATTATATTCTTGCTCTGTCATGTACATAGAGCTCTACCTGGATTTTATCCTCTTTGAAATATATATATATATATATATATATATATATATATATATATATATATATATATATATTAGTAAAAAAGACCAGAGGAAAATTATTCTTATAATGCAGGTGTGTACGTGGGTGTATATGTGTGTTTGGGTGTGTGTCTTTGTGTGTGTTTTTACGAGCGTGCGCAGATTTATTCAATGAGGGATTAAGGTATTTGCATATTTCCTATTAAATATCACATTAGTTTCTTATATATATATACAATAGAGCCTATATTATAATTATTTTTTTTAAATATGAATCCATTACTACATAAGAGTTCTCATGTTTCAAAAACAGAAGCTAAAAACTTCAATTTAATTATAGAAATTAAATTGAATTAATGTACCTAATTCTGTTTCATCCTCAAACGAATTTTGGAATAACTAATTTTGAAATATTTACGAGCTTTATAGGTAATTTAATTTAATTTCTATAATTAAATTGAAGTTTTTAGCTTCTGTTTTTAAAACATGATGACTCTTATGTGGCGATGGTATCATATTTTTTTTTAAATAATTATAATATATATATATATATATATATATAAAGGGTGTTTCATTAAGACGGATTATATATAAGGGTGTTTTATTAAGACGGGTCATAGTCAGCAATAAATGAATCAGTCTTATCGGTGAAAGTTTATTTCTCTATTGGATCATGTTCTTTAAGTCATGTCAATTATGTGTGAAAAATAACATCGCCCAAATATCTGCCAAATTTGAAAGAAAAGAAAGAAACGATTAGGCGCTTAAACTTAATTCACACACACACACACACACACACACACACACACACATATATATATATATATATATATATATATATATATATAAGGGAAAGAGATAAGAGACATAACTGTATTGACTCTACAACCTACATATTTTCGTCCAAAGTGCTGCTCACTAGTATAGTATCAGAGAAGTATCTTTTCGGATGAGTTTGATGCCAATAGAATTTGTCTTAATGATTATGTCATTTTTCAGAGCGTTCGGATCAGGTCAGGATTTATTCTTTAATATTTCCATACCTGCTTACATTAGAGTAACATGTTCTTTTATCTTCTCTCATCGAGATATCAAGCAGAATTTGGTCTTCATACTAACACCATAAACGCTGCCACGGACACATTGGTGATCTTTTAGATCCAAAGGGTGCCTTCAAGTCAGTGATTCTTCCTTCCTATGCCACCATGTACCCAAATACTAGTTGCCTCTATGTATTTCGAGAGAAGGTGTTGTCTAATTTTCCCAAAAGTTACCATGACAACTAAGCAGAAAATAACAATTCGAAAATCGTATCGATTTATAGAATCAGTTATATAAAATAATTGTTCGTGCTAATTTAAATGCATTGTAAGACAAAGAGATCCGTTTTGAAACTCTAATGCTAACATTTCTTTATTGATATTAGTCCATCGAGCAGTGTTATCGTTATTGTTAATTTAATAAAACAGCATCAACCATTATTACTAACTTTTGTCTAGCATTTACTTTCACTTTCATTTTCATTAAACGAAGCATTGTTAACGATTCTAATGAATTTTTATGCCTATTTGTTCATCCCGACTTAAAAAAAAAAACGGTAAAGCAGTATTACCAAATTTTCCGGCTTACAAGACGCACTTTTTTACCCTAAAAATACCCTGAAAACAAACCTGCGTCTTCCAAGACGAATATGCAACGCCCAGACTCAAGCAATCTTAGACGGTTACCTAATTGGCTTGACTGATAAGGACGCGAATTTGTATGTTGAGTCATTACACTATAATGTTAGCTATCAATCTAATTCAGCTTTTTATACGGTGGAGTAATGGATAGCGGCTCGAACTGAGGAATCGGAGAGCTGAGTTCGAATTCCAGTCGAATCCATTACATTCACTACCGTGTATGAACCCTCTTCTTCTACCCAACTATGGGTAAATAGCAGGTCAGATCGAGTTCTATAGCCTTCGATGGCAACTGGTTTACTGCAGAAAGAAATGGCAACCTACTGCGGGAAAAAAATCTGCCTCGTCAATCATGTTTCGAAAGATACATGATTACCTAAGCGTCTATCACGCATGGCACATAACTGACTGATATGATGTAACCTCAGTACTTAGGGGTTTCAAGTATTTCCAAGACTATAAACCTTCCTGGAACCGAGCCACAAGCTTAAACATAATCTGTATACTAGCAGCGGTGGCAGCCTTTCCGCTCTTGACTAGTATGTCATTGCCATACAAACAAAATCGGACGAGTGATTAATGTAAACAATACGTAGTGTCAGTATGTGAAGGACATGGTGAATGTGTTGTTCTATGAGAATGACTTTTTTTTCTTAAAAATTTCTTTCCAAAATTATGGTGCGTCTTCCAAGCCGCAGCGTTTTGTAAGCCGGAAAATACGGTAATTAAATTATTAATTTTTGAGAAAAAATTGTCGGCTTCATTTATTGTTTCATTTTTATACCAACTTTTGCTGTTCTTGTCAATCTACAGCAGTGAATATGATCAAAAGTAAAGGGTAAACTCTTGCATTTCACGGGGAATTTATGCTTCCTCTTCGATACACTAACTTGCGATAAAAATCACAAAAAATTGATAAGCATAAATACTAATAAAATATTAAAAATAACAGTCTCTGCGTTTTTTTCCATGCTACTTATCAATTTTTCACCATATTCCATATTTTTTTTATGACAGGTCACTGTAAGATTGATACTAGTATCATGGAGCTCAGTGCTACCAGCCGATGATTAAACCGGTTTCCCCATCAGGCTTTTCTGGTGGGTAAGATGACTAGACACCGAGTAGGATTAACGACAAGACCTGTCAAAGAGGGGGTGATCCTTCTTTTAGCCTCAACAGCTATCTAACACAATAGGGTAGACTTTACTCTATAGCTACGGATACAGCTAGGCGAAGGTCTCACTAGACGGGAAACGAAGGCCAGAGAGTAAGGTTCCCTTGATGAAATTGCTAAGTGTCCGTGACTAAGGCAAGCTTTCCAGATAAAGGACATCGGCTGTGGTTTAACTTGGAGATGGATGGTCTCCGCCAGGTCTAATTCGCCCAAGAATGAATACCTCTCCTGCGTTCAACCCAGATGTAGACTGAAGTAATTAGGTGTTCATCTGAGTAGCTTTGACGTTTATCATGTTAAAATAAACATCTAATAATTGTAGTTTTTAAAAAAAAAAAATTATATTTTGTATTGATTGATTCCTTTTCTACGGCTTATCAACACTTTGCAGGTTATTTAAAGCCAAAAATATTTTTGGATTGTAAGAATTTTTTAGATAAGAATTATTTAATGATAAAAAAAATTACTAATTAACCCATAGCTGGGGGAAAAGAAGTTGATTCATACATTTCCAAAGGTCATTTGCTCACCTGGCATTTCCAAGCGGTCACCCATTTAGGTACTGACTAGGCTCGATGTTGCTTAACTTGAGTGATCTTACAGAAGCAGGTGTTTCAACATGATATCGCCCTAAGCCATTTTGGTTTTTTTGCACTTTCATTAAAGAGATTAAAAACAAGAAATCTCCCAATATTAAAAGCTGCTCTTCAATAAAAATCGAATTTTATTCATTTCACTATGTGGTAAAGAATTATGTTTTTATGGGAATTCTTAAAAGAGTATTAATTGCAGAAATCAAAAAAAAATTCTTACATTTGGAAATGTTATTCCAACGCCAAGGCGAATTATTCTGCTACAAAAAAAAATGATGTTGAATGAAACAAAACACTTTTGAAAGCAGGAGAATCGACAGATTCAGGCAAGAAAAAAGTAAAATTATTAAAATATCAGTCAGAATTATTCATTGTTAAAGGATATTTAAAATTAAGCGTTTTACTTACAATCAAAAGTCAGTAATTATGTTTGTTTGTTTTGTTTTATGGCACATCAAAACCTCAATGGATCACTTAATGCTGACAACTTTTTTTTCCTGGTAATATTTTTGTTTTGTCAAAAATCGATTTCTGTTAATTTTTTTTTTTTTTTTCAAAAACGTATAGCTGGGAATTTTTTTTTTTTTTTTCAAAAACGTATAGCTGGGAATTTTTTTTTTTTTCAAAAACGTATAGTTGGTAATTTTTTTTTTTTTCAAAACGTTTCAAAAACACAGTTGGTAATTTTTTTTTTTTTTTTTCAAAACACAGCAACATTACTTTTTCAAAAACGTATTATCAGAGGCGTTGCTGTTGGACGTAGTTTATCGTCATACCCAGGACGCGGATGTAGTTTATCGTCGTACCCAGGACGCGGATGTAGTTTATCGTCATACCTAGGACGCAGTAATTACCTTCGAGAAAAGCCAAGAAAAACAATATAATAAAAAGAGATGCGTGTTGATTTGGGAACTTTTTTTAAGTACATACCGTTTGTTTTAGATGAACTTACGTTAGACTCCTTAATAATAGATTCGATAGTTTGGTGCTGTCATATAATATATGAAAAACCAAAAACATAATGTCTACTGCACACACACACACACACACATACGAATATGCATTATCATCTGAATCCCACATAGACAAACTAGATTTATTATATACTTACATACATAAAGCAATATTTACAGTTTTTCTTTTTTTACTGGTAAGCTTGGAATCTTCGAAAGAACGCGTTGTCTCTCCTTGAACTCGAAACGTCATAAATTATACGAGGATTTATTTAACGAGTCGAATGCACCTGATTAAGCAATCAAAAACACAAAAGTAAATGAAGCTTTAATAAAAGTGAAACATGTTTGATTGTCAAACGTTTCCTATTTGTTGTTTATATAAGAACATGTAATACAATGTGCATCTTTTAATGATCCTCGTCCTTCTGAAAAGTGCTTACAGCCATATAACGTTAAAACAACGGTTGCCCTGTGATCACCAAAGTTAAATAAATTTGAACCTGGTCAATACCTGGATAGGTGACCAGGTGCTGTATGCTTGGATGTGCGGGTGGTGTAATGGATAACGGCCCGGAATTTGAAGCCGGAGAGACGAGATCCAATTCCAGTTGGGTTCGTTATATTCGCTACGCGCAAATACTCCTAGGAAGGTATGTATCAGAATTTTCTCCCCTAGGCATGGGTTAATTAGTAGAATTTATATCAGTAAATATTATCTCAAAAAAAATTCTTACAATCTAAATGTATTTTCTGGCTTTAAATAACCTGCCAAAGTTTGATAAGCTGTAACAAACAAATCAATCAAAAACCTTCTGAAAGCCATGCTACTTTGGGGGACAGTATTGTTAACTCTCTTTTTGTACCAGGTTTTGCAAGCAGCGGCTTTCGGGCCCAATTTAAAATAAAACTTTAAAATTGCCAATATTTCAAGAATCTAAAAAAAATATATAAAATTTATACATAAATATATTAATAATTGTGGCAGCACAGATATACACCTTTGTGCAAATTAACTGAAACAACCGATTTAGTTTCATTTCTTTTACCATATGGTCAGTTTTAGACCCACTGGTGTGACAGCGTGTAATCGATAGCTACTTTTTCCTCAGATTAGGCCATTTGCTGTGGTGTACAGTAAAAATAATCTATTTTCGGGGTGTATAATATAAAATATTGCGTTATCTGTGATTGCATCAGATTTATATCACGCCCAGGCACTATTGTCTCGACTGTCGATTAGTTGTCCTACGTCCATTGTCTGCGATGGACGTTAATCCAAGGAAGCGTACGAAAATTGCAACGCTGCACGATCGCACTGGCAAGCTTTAGCAGTGAGCAAATCAAAGTATTATAGATTGTAAATTCTCCTGATTTAAATCCAATCGAGAATCTGTGGTCAATCTGCAAGGAACGACTTCATGAAATGCACCTACGAAATACTAATATATGCTCTGAGTTATGTTTCATTGTAAAAAAACGAAAAAAAGGAAATAATAACGGAATTATTCGTTTTGTTTCAATTAATTTTCACAAGGGTATAGGTGATCATGGTCCTCCACATCTTCCTGTATAATTAATTTGCACAAGGGTGTACATTCAAAGGCCTAGATTTTGAATCGTCGGGACATCAAACGTTTAGAACGGTTCCAGCAAACAAATCTCCAAAGAATGCTTCCCTTTTGGGAGGACCGCATAACCAACAACGAGGCACTCTCTCGAATATCTACCCCACCCCCAGCATTGAGGCTACCATTCTTCAACATCACCTCCGCTGGGTGGGTCAAGTGTCCAGAATGTGTCCCACTCGGCCCCCAAGCATCATCCTGTTTGGAGAAATCGCCAGCGGCAAGAGGTTACGAGGAGGCCTAAGGCAACCAAGATCAAGGAACAGTTAACAACATCCCTGGCATAAGTCAACATCGACCCTGAAACCTAGGAAAGCTTTGCTGCAAATCGGCCTTCCTTGCGTAGGACCATCCGAGGAGGGTGAGGACCGAGCTCCTCTGTGAGTCCAGCACGCGACTCTTCACGAGTAGGCTGGGCCTTCGCAGTTATCTCCGTCTGTCACTAGAGTGGAGACGATGCTCGGCTGCGAGCGGGTGATGAAAAGATATATATTAAATGTGTCTAAGAAATAATCTTTGGAGTAAAGTTTTGTAAAAAAAGAAAATAGTTTTAATACATTCTTTAATAATAATATAGTGAAGTCAGAGATAGTCATTAAATGTATCCATGAAATCTTTAAGTAATTATAAGTCTTTGTACAAACGTGACTTGTGTAAGTAACTAATCAACTAAGGGAAAAATTTGAGATCAACACAATCACTATCATATTACGCACGGTTCAGTTACATATCATTCACTCTGGAAGCGATTCATTCATTTTGACGCGTTGATTACCAGTACAGCCGTGTTTTTTTTTTCTCAAGACAAGCGGCGTTTATACTAAAACTTATAATTATTTGTAGATCTTTTTATATTTTTATACTTGCATACAATTTTCAGACGTGACTTAAAAACAGGCATACTGTAGAAATATTATTTACACTATTTACATTATTCAGACTGTTGTCCTCATCTTTAGTGTCCTATTCACGACGTTTCATTCGTTGTACGCTCCGGTCTTCATCAGGTCATATGCGTTGGAACCCTTTATTTAGTCCACGGGAGTAGATTGTTCTAATTCTACGTGCCGTGCCTTTTTGGATACCTCAGTTTCATTTAATTCCTTCAACTCTCTAATGATGTAAATAATGTAAATAGTTACAATATCCCATCTTAAATATATAGACAAATGTGGAAATATTGTGGAACATTATGAAATAATGTCTTTTCTTTTTCTTTTCTTATATTCCATTTCTCTTCTATCAGTGTTAATAATAATAATAATAATAATAAATCGACGCCGTCGTTAATTGTCAGCAGTAAAAGAATATACAGTCAGTGTGAACGTCATGATCTTTTCGATGGCTAATATTATATATAACGCTAGGTAATAGAACACGGCTAGACTGTAGAACAAGGCTAGACTTGAAAACATAACTAGACTGTAGAACACGGCTAGACTGGAGAACGTAGCAAGACTGGAGAACACGGCTAGATAGAGGAACACAGCTAGACTATAGAACACGGCTAGACTGGAGGACATGGTTAGACTGGAGAACGTGGCAAAATAGAGGAAGACATCTAGACTATAGAACATGACTAGACTGGAGAACACGGTTAGATAGAGGAACACAGCTAGACTATAGAACACGGCTAGACTGGAGAACAAGGCTAGATATAGGGACACAGCTAGACTATAGAACACGGCTAGACTGGAGAACAAGGCTAGATATAGGTACACAACTAGACTATAGAACACGGCTAGACTGGAGGACATAGTTAGACTGGAGAACGTGGCAAAATAGAGGAAGACATCTAGACTATAGAACATGACTAGACTGGAGAACACGGTTAGATAGAGGAAGACATCTAGACTATAGAACATGACTAGACTGGAGAACACGGTTAGATAGAGGAACACATCTAGACTATAGAACATGACTAGACTGGAGAACACGGTTAGATAGAGGAAGACATCTAGACTATAGAACATGACTAGACTGGAGAACACGGTTAGATATAGGGACACAGCTAGACTATAGAACACGGCTAGACTGGAGAACAAGGCTAGATATATGGGTACACTAACTAGACTATAGAACACGGCTAGACTGGAGGACATGGTTAGACTGGAGAACGTGGCAAAATAGAGGAAGACATCTAGACTATAGAACATGACTAGACTGGAGAACACGGTTAGATAGAGGAACACAGCTAGACTATAGAACATGACTAGACTGGAGAACACGGTTAGATATAGGGACACAGCTAGACTATAGAACATGACTAGACTGGAGAACACGGTTAGATAGAGGAACACAGCTAGACTATAGAACATGACTAGACTGGAGAACACGGTTAGATAGAGGAAGACATCTAGACTATAGAACATGACTAGACTGGAGAACACGGTTAGATAGAGGAACACAGCTAGACTATAGAACACGGCTAGACTGGAGAACAAGGCTAGATATAGGG